AGTGGCCCCATGGAGGGAGTGGAGGTCCAGGGCAGTGAGAGAGGCCAGGGAGGCTGGCCAGCTCCGGGCTGCGCCTTCAGCCTTGACTGAGGTCATGTGTGCGGGGACAGGTTGGATCACTACACCCTAGAATGCAACCCCAGGGGACAGATGTGGGTTACTGCATGCCGGGGTGCGGAAGGCGGGCGGGCAGCAAAAGCAACAACAGACACAGCCAGAGGCTTGAGTTACCTCCCCACTGATTTGCAGGCCTGTGGCCTCGGTGCCTGAGCTCGCTGTGGGGTGGCACTGACCGGCGACACCCCTGCAAGAGAGAGAGAGAGGTTTGGTCATTGAGGGCAGCTCACATGGAGACCCACCTGACACTCCATCGTCCCCCAGCAGGCAGGCTCATTTCCCAGCTCAGTCTCAAGGCCAAGAAGGGACAAATGGATAACACCTCCCCATTGGCCACCTTACAATGCGGCTCCTTGAGAGCCAGCTCAGCAGAAGCCCCCACAGGTGCCGGCCACACAGACCCCCAGTAAAGCCCTGGCCAGTACAGACTCTGTTCTGGATCGAGCTGTCTCCTTGAAGATACATGCTGGACCTCGTTTGGGAAGAGGGTATCAGCTTTAAGACACTGAGGCCGCTTTAGGGCAGGGTGGGTCCTACACCCAATCACTGGAGTACAGGGAGCAGCAGAGGCCCAAGGACAAGCACGCAAACAAGGGGAAGGACAGAGGCCATGCGGAGACTGCCAAGCTAACATGGCCCACAGAGCCCTGAAACAAGGACCACTCCACGAGCCCCAACCTCTGGATGCCCAGCCCCCAGAGCAGTGAGCCATGGGCATGGCAGGGTCCAGAGCCCCAGGCAGCCCCCAAGTGGCCGATACTGTGCAAGGCTCAGGGTCAAGGTCACAAGCCTCCTGCCTGACGGGGGCAGCATCTGATGCTGGAAGAAACGCATACCCCCACCAGCACCAAACCCTGTCATGTCTCTAAAGCTTGAAGTAGCTTTTCTCCACTACTTTAAAAACAGCTGCACATGTATCTATGACTTTACCAATAGAAAACTTAGGGATTTTAAATTGAGAAGTCGGTGTCGGCAGAGCCCTGGTCCTGGGGTTGAGGCAGGAATCACGCCTTCTTTGGGTTCTTGCAGCTGAATCCAGCTGGCCGGATTCAGGCAGCAGGAAGGTGGCATCCAGGCCTGCGCCTGCGCTCTCGGGAGTCCGGGGGTGTGAGAGGGCAGCTGTGTCGGCCATGGGCTGCTCCACCGGGACCTCGGCAACACAGGCGGGAAGGGCCTGCGGGCCGGCCGCGTCTGCAGGGCCTGGTGGCCGGCACTGCTGTGGGGCTGAGGCCCCCGGTCTGCTCAGAGTCCTGCGGACACCCGACTGGCCTGCCAGAGAAGACACACAAGCAAGTGAACTTGGAGCTCACGCTCCTGAGAAGTCAGAGAGCTCACCATTAGCACAGGACAGGCCACCTACAAAGCCTCGCGCCAGCGAGGTTTTCAGAGACGCCACCTCTCTCCCAAGAGGATGCTCACACGAGAGAGCTGGGGGCCGAGTGGCCCCGGGGTATGAATTCTACCCCCAAGTGCCAAGGTCTTGGTCAGTGCTGCTGTTGCTCCGTGCCATCAAGTCAGTTCCAACTCACAGTGACCCTATGGACAATGAACTAACACCCAGCCAAGCCCACTGCCACTGAGCTGATGCCAACTCGTACTGACCCTGAGGACAGGTGGACTGCCCCTTTGAGTGTCTGAGGCTTTAAATCATCTTCCTCCAGAGGAGCAACTTGTGGGTTTGAGCCTCCGACCCTATGGTTAGCAGTCTGGCAATGACCCAACAGTGCCATCAGGGGACATGGGTAGAAACCACAACTCCACACTCACTGCCACCGGTGGATTCCGGCTCAAGGTGACCCTTGAGGACAGGGTACAACTGTCCCTGTGGGTTCCCGAAGTAGCAATTCTTTACGGGAGTAGAACGCCTCGTCTTTCTCCAGTGGAGTAGCTGGCGGTTTAGAACTGCTGACCTTGAGTTAGCAGCCCCTTCCATAGACTCCAGTGGACCAACATGTTTTCACCGGTCAGGCCAAACACCGCAGCCCGTCCAAACAGAGGCAGGGGTAGAAACCGAGGCAAACCACTAAAAGCGTGTGGCAGAGCAACCGTGGGAGGAGAGCAGAGAGCCCCAGAGGAAGTACAAAGGACAGACTCTGGGGCCAGAGCATGGTACCCCCTCGGTCCTGACTGAAGGACATGCCTAGAGATCAAAAATCAGACCTTGATCTATTTATAGGTTTTTCTTTCTGTTTAAAATTTTTTTCTTTTAATTAATTTATTCTTCTATGGGTAAAAAAGAGCACTCTAAAATAGCTGAGCAGATACTTAGTTACCAAAATAGCTGAGCAGATACTTAGTTACCAAAGCAAGAGGGGTCTGTACTTGGAGAAAGAGGAGACTTTCTACACCCTTAAAGAGGGACAGTCTGGGAAACCCACACGGGCAGCTCTACCCTGTGCGCAGGTCCGCTGGGAGTCAGTCAGTCAGAACGGACTGGCAGCAGTGAGTCTGGGTGCCTGGTGGACATGGCTAAGTGCTGACTTCTCGCTGGAGGTCTGGAATTAGAGAAGCACCGTGGAAGAATGGACTGGCAACCTGCCTCCTAAAGCCGGCACCACAAACAACCCTGGTTCTACTTGCAGCCCGTGGGCCATGCGCCAGCCAGCACGGACGCCAGGGCAGCTGGCACACTGGTAGGCCAGGGGGACAGACTGGTAGGGAAAGGCTGGAGGACAGTGAGTGCGCAGCTCAGAGTGGGCGGAGCACGCTGCCCCACGCATGCCCCATGCCTCCAGTCTCTGGGTTCTGCTACGCATGGTGTGGAAAGGGGCCTAGGCCAGAGCCTGTGTATTGTTCTGCACTGACCACAATGAGCAGGGAGGGGCTGGCGGCCTGGGCCAGCCCACAGAGCACTTCCACTCCTCCGTGCCACTCAGGCTGACCCAGCCCCTCCGCTTGTAAAGACAAGAAGACAAACTTCCGTTCTCTTGGGCTGAGGCAGTCAGCCAGGTTCCAAATGGTCCACGTTTTGTGATCGAAATGCACAGCACACTGGAGGGGCTGATGGTCAGAGACTACCCACACCCCAACCAGGCCCACCGCTGTCCAGTCCAGCCCCGTTCTTGGCAGCCCTATGGGACACAGCGTGACTGCGACCTAGGGTTTCCAAGACTGAATACCGATGCTCCCCACAGTGAGCAGTACTACCTGCTGGGGCTCGACCATCCTGGAGGGGGTGTGAAACCAGATACTTACACTTCACCTTGGATCATGGGCTGTAGTACAAGCATTTTTAATGGCTGGGGGCTGCTGAGTAATCATTTTTCTTCAGTAGGCCAAGTATGTATGTTTGGGAACCTTTCCTGTAAGCCTTTATGGGAACAGACAGCCTCATCTTTCTCCCACGGTGGGCTTGAACCACAGACTCCACGGTCAGCTCACCTCCTGCCCACCAAGGCACGGCCACTGGGAAGAGGGTCCAACAAGCACCCGAGGGGCTCTCAGTGGCATAGGGTTACAAGCCAGCTGCTAACCACAAAGCCAGTGAGTGACCGGCTCAGACCCCCACAGGGCAGTCCCACCCTGCCTACAGGATGCTGAGTCCCGGTGGACTGGAGAGCGGGAGTTTCCTTTGGATTTCAAGAAGCCCTGGTGCTGCTGTCAATAAGCTGTTCAAACCCACTAGCAGCATTCAGGAGCAGGACGAGGCTGTCTGCTGCCGTGCAGCCGTGGCTACTGGGGTACATTAACTGCCTCGCCTGCAGAGGGCGAGGGCTCCCCCACCACTAGACGGCACCCTGCAGCTGCTTGGGGAAACTCAATGGCGTGGGGCGTGAAGGAGGTGAACCTTGTGCTGGAGTGACAGACCACAGGGCCTAACCACTGAAACGGCCCTATTTTGGAGAGTGCCTGACCATACCATGTAGCTCTCAGCGGGCCTGCACATCCCACGGGGGACACAGCTGCACAGAGACTCACTCCTTGGGGGCCCTCCCCTCACGGGCAGAGTCACAGTGTCCTGTAAACGCAAGCTCTCTGTGGGACAAGGCCTGGCAAGGTCTGGGAGGGCACCTCACCTGCACCCCTGGCCTGAGGAGCCACCCTGCGTGACGTCGCGCCCACCGCAGGCCCCGAGGGAGCGCTCCTTCTGGGTAGGCTGCCGGTGCGGCCAGGCGGCCTCGCTAAGCTCCTCTTCGGCCCCAACTGGAACAGAGTGTGAGATAAAAGAGTCACCAGAGAGCCTCAGCCACACCCTGCCTGGACCCAGGGTTGAAGCTGGTTCTATCCAGTTCACCATGAACTTCAAGAAGAGTGGCCACAGCCCTCAAGCCTGGCCATACCACCTGGCTAGACCCTTGAGGACCATCAACGTAAAGCCCAGCGTTCGGCCATTGGAACAAGGCTGCCAGTGACTCTTGGGCAGAGATGGTGAGCAGGCAGTCAACTGTGGATGGCCAGCTCCTGGCCAAGTGTGGCTGTCCGCTCATACTTGCGGGCCCTGGAGCCTATGCCGTGCCACCCACTCAGGGACTCACCTTGTTTGGCACAGGCAATGCCCTCTTTCCCAGGGCCAGGTGGGTTCCGCTGGTGGGTCTCTCAGGAAGGCCCTCTCGGTGGGGCTCCACACTCGGGGGCTTCATCGTGGAAAGGCTGGCTGGCCGCTCTTTCTTAGGCTGGAATTTGGAATTGGGAAGGCTGAGAACCGTCCAGTTGTCACAAGACAGTGACGGTGGCACTAAAGTTTCAGTGGGGACCAGCTCAGCTTGTTGCTCACAGGGGCTCGGTGCCTCATGTAACTCAAGCCACTGGATTACTCTGTGTGGTAGTTACATAATCTGTGGTCAATCTGAGAGGATTAAGAATGAAGGGGTGGAGTCTAGCCTGTCGATCAGGTCGCAGCCTGATGACCCCATTTGGAGGTGCTAAGGAGATATTTCGCTGGAGATGGGACACTCGTCCACTCGCTGCGAGACATTGCTGACAAGGAGCCTGAGGGAGCCACACTGTTGCAGCCAGAGCCCTGGAGCTGAAGGAGCCACATGGAGACCCCTGCCAGCATTGAGATGCTTCCACAACCACTGGATCCACACTTTTCACCCACTGGCCTGGGATCTTCCTGCATTCGGTGTCATTGCATGTATTTCGTGAGTGTGAAGAGGACTTTAGATTGTTTTTGGACATATGGGCCAATATTGGACTTATGAACTTGATCTGGCCTGGGATGTTTTCTCAATATTCAATTGCTCTTGTACATAAAGCTCCTTCTCATACACGAGTCTCCCTGGATTTGTTTCTCTAGTCCACCCAGACTAAAGGAGCCATGGACCTGTCTTCCTCCCAAGGCATAGAGCAAGGCGGCTCGAGACTAGTCCGAGGGAGCCCCACGAACTTGATTTCCTTCCAGGGTCTTCGTGAGGTGGGTTTGGAGGAAGCTGGCGCCAGCTCAAAACAAAGCACCACACTCACTGTTGGCTTCACGGGAGCAGAAAGCTGCTTTGCCTTCCTGCGGAGCAGTGGGAGGTACTGACCCGCTGACCTTGAAGTTAGCAGCCCAACTCATGACCACTGTGGAAGCAGGGCCCTTCTCAAGGGGACCCAGCAGTGCAGGCACCCAAGTGTGGCTCAGAGCGGGCCCCTGCCTGAGAAGTCCTCCCCGCACAGGGAGCTTGTGTACAGCCTGCCTCCCAGGCCCACGGCTGAGAGTCAGAGAGGGAATGGCAGAGGGAGAACCAGGCACAGGGCACTCGGACCCGACTACACTCACACTACAGGGCACAAGGAGCCCGGGGGGCGCTGTGGGGAAGGCGGCCAGCGGCTAATTACAAGGCCGGCAGCTAGAGTCCACCTGCTGCTGGAGAGACCCACAGCCTAGGAGACCCCACGGGCTAGCTCTGTCCCGCAGGTGTCAGCGTCGGACCGACCAGTGGCCGGTTGTTAACGGGACAGTGAACCAGTGAGGTCAAGGGCAATCTGACCTCGGAGTGGACAACAACCACCGTGCTCTGCCTCCCCGCACCGCATTCTCAACGATGGAGATGCGGTCACACGGAGGCAAGCTTTGGCCCTTCCTGGCCCGCAGGGTGGCCTGGCTGCTGCTCGGATCCACCACTTGAAGGCGCGCGCTGTTGGAGTGTTTGCTGTGCTTCAGAAACCTCGGCACACAGGGACTTCAGGACATCCTGTCTCCCCAAAAGGAGACCCTAACCCTATTTGAGCCCCTTCCCCAGCCCGGCAGTCCGAGACAGTTCTGCTGACCCTGTCCCTCTGGTGTCTCTGTTCCAAGACCTTGCCAGTCAGCCAAGTCACACAGTCTGTGTTCCCCTGGCAAGGTTGGTCCCCGTGACACCCCATCGCGTGGATGTGCCCGTCCCCTCTCCCGTCAGCAGGGAATGGGCGAGGCGTTTCCACCTCTGGTGAACACGGGTGGAATACATGACTCTTTGCCTCTCTGCGTAGGCTTTGGGGGTTTGCGTCCCTGTGTCTGGGAAGGGAACCAGCAGCCCCCCTGGCAATGGGAGAGATAACCGGGAGGGGTAACCGGTTTCCATGGTGGCGTACTGCCACATACCCCCACCCCCAGCCTTGGGCAGGGTTCCCGTCCCCCCAGTGCCCCCACACTGCTGTTTGCCTGTTACTTTCTGAAAACACTGAACCTGTTCCAAACCACCAAACCAAACCCACTGCCATCAAGTGGGGTCTGGCTCTTGCTGACCCTGTACAGGGTTTCCAGGCTGTGCATCGGGTGGGGACCGTCTGGCCCACGGGACCATGAATCCCAGCTAACATCACACGCCTCGCCATGAGAAGCAATCTTCACCACCACAGCAGGAGTGAGGTCACAAAAAGTGTGACCAAATAACACTACACTCACTGCCCCCGAGTGGATGCCAACTCACGGCGGCCCCACGGGGCAGGGTGGAGCTGCTCTGTGGGTACCCAGACTGTCACTCTTCGCGGGAGTAGAAAGCTCCATCTGTGTTTTCTCTCCAGTGGAGCAGTTGGTGGTTTCGAACTACTGACCTTCCTTCCGGTTAGCAGCCCAACACGTAACCACTCTGCCACCAGAGCACAGCACAGGCTACTTTTCCCATTGACGATCAGTCGTGTGTGGCCCACAAGGATGTTATAAATATCCACATGGCTCTTGGCAGAAAGAGGTCCTCCCCACCCTACTCCATGCCTCATCTTCCTCCCTGGAGCGGCTGGTGGCTTGGACTACGGCCTTGTGAATGGCAGTACAATGCCTGCCCTCGGCACCACCAGGGCTCCAGAACAGAGGGTGTGCGGGCGCAGGAAGTGAGTCAACCACGCAGCTCAACTTAGAGCACAGGACTTGGGTCAGACACCCAGTCCTCCGGCAGCAGGATCACCACATAGGCCTGGCGGGGAGGGCCTGGAGGGCCAAGTGTGGTGGCCTGAGGGACTGGCTGGAGATGTCAGCAGCCAAATTCTCTACGCTCAGAATCACGGGTTTGGAGAGCTGACCCTGGTAGGGGAGGCTCTCACCTTTATGAGATAGCAATGACTCCTGATACACGGTCTCCAGACTGAGAATCACCCTCCCCCCATAAAGGTGCACCCATAAAACGGTCTCCTGCTCACACCAGGCTGCTCACTATCCAAAGGGAGACTCTCTGTCTTTAAGAGAAGTCAGGCTCTGTCGTCCGTCAAGTCCCTTCTGAGAGTGATCATAGACCGTTCCCCTGCAGAGCTCAGGGACGTACGAGGTGGAATGCTGACTGAACGAACTGTCACTATGCGCCTCCAGTACCTGCCCACCTGGCACGCACGTGCCTGCTGGAGGCTTGCAAGTCCCGTGACTTGCTCTCGTGATGCCGACATGGGGAGGGAACGTGGGCCCCTGGGCCCTGATCTCTCCTATAAAGGCACCGCCACTCGTCCGGGCCCTTTCGGTATGGGGCCGGACCCCACCCTCCATGCCCTGACGCTTGTCTGACACACACAGCAGCACCCACCCTGCCCTCATTCCAGGGCACCCTCCCACGGTGGTCACCAGGGAGACCCCTTTCAGCCGAAACAGCCTGTGGCTGCGCAAGTGAACCCTGTAGAGGGTTTCCAAGGCGATGAGTCTTTAGGGGAGCAGATAGCTCATCTTTCTCCGTAGGAGTGGCTGGCGGGTCTGAACAGCAGACCTTTTGTACCACGGTCACCCGACAGGGCCCCAGGCTGCTTCAACCAAACCACCGTCTGCTAAGGTGAACACCGACACACGGGGAGCGTGCCTTCAGAACAGTCAACCTCAGGGGCCCAGAAGGCCAGCATTTGTCCAGGAATGAAGCTGCTGCCGAGTGGAGGGACCCTGCAGGAGGAGCAGAGCTGTCCAGGGGCTGGCCAAGGCCGTCTTCCTGCCGGAAGCAGGTGGCCTCCTGGTTCTGAGCTTGGTTCAACCCCCGACCTGTCAGTTCACAATGGAGTACTTGGCCATTGTGCCACCAAGTCTCCTATGCAAGATAAACTCAAAGAACCAAGCCCTCCACTACTGAGACTGCCTCACCCCTCACCCGCCCGGGAGCCCTGGCAGCACAGGGAGTTACGCCTCGATTAGAAACCACCAGGTGCTCCGTCGGAGGAAGATGAGGCTTTCTACTCCCATTCAGAGTGAGTCTTGGAAGCCCACAGGGGCAGTTCTACCCCGCCCTGCAGGGTCACTGTGAGTCTGGTTTTGAGTCTGGGCACCTTCTTCTGAGGAGGGGCTGCCAGCCTTGCACTGAGCAGCCCCCCACTCCACCTGCCGCACCAACAGGCTCACTCAATGCAGGTGACCTGGCTGCGCAGCACAAGCTGGGCAACAAGGTCACTGCAAGACCACAGCAACCCAAACAAGCAACAGGCTTTGGGGTCTCAGGAGAGGAACTGCTGCTGAAAGAGGCTGCTGGTGTTCATGCAAACCCAGCCCGACAGGGACTAGCCTGCCCCGCCACAAAACAAGACTCTTGAAACAAGACTTGCGAGGTTTTTGTAAGGCCAAGGCTGATGCCTTTGCTGGCCCGTGTGTGCCAGAGGGCCTCCCCCTGGGTACCGTGCAGGGGGCTCAGAATGCAAGCGCTTCAGTTCGTAGAGGAGCCCACACCTTTCACGCTCCCAGCCCACCCCCCAAGCAGGGCCCTCCGCTGTTCCTGAGCCCTGCCCTCAGAGCACCTACTGTCCCTGTGACAGGACACAGGAGGGAGGCTGCGCTGAGATGCCAGGGAGCCTCCCTGCCCCCCATAAACAGCAGGTACCTTCTCCAGGGGCGGGGGGACGCTCTTCCCTCTGACAGCCGGCACGCGGGGTGGCTGCAGTCTGCTCCTGTTCCTTTTCGGCACCACCAGCTGGCTCAGGGGGTGAGCAGAAGGCTGGGACGCCTGTGTCTGGCCAAGGCTGGGCGGGGCAGGGGTGCTCCGAGGGGCATGAGCAGTGCTGGGGGCCTGGGCCCGGCCGGGGGGCCCCCTCAGAGGGCTCTGGGCCAGGCAGTAGGTCTCCCTCTTCAGTGACGCGGGGCTCTTCTGCATCGTGCTGCCTTTCTCAAAGAGACTTATTTTCAGCTCTGAATCCTGCAGGAACACCTCTGGGCCTTGGGCGTCTCTAAGCCTGCCGGGCTGCTCCGTGTCCTTGCTGCTGCCCTCGATCTGCAATGCCAGCAGGTGCGCCTCCTTGCAAACCTCCTCGAACTTCTCCCGAGTGAAGGGGCTCCATGGGAAGCAGCTCTCGGGGGCTGGGGTGTACAAGTCCACGCCGGCAGCTGAGCAGCTTCCTTTTATCCCAAGAAAGACCTCGTCGTCCTCATTGGCGCTATTTTCAAAACAGAGGCTCATCGGTGACACAGGCATGGAAATGGAAAGGCGTTAGGAGGTGGTGACCCTCAAGGCAGGGCCAACAACCAGTCAGAGCCCGGGGGCTTACCTGGAGGAGGACAGGGAGAGGTCAAAGTCGAACTTCTCATCAGCCAGAAGCAGAAGGTCTGTGGGGGGCAAGGCCTGTGTCATTGCCAGGCTGGGGCAGGTGCCAGTCTCTAGGGCTGGCAGACACTGGCAAAGGGCGGTGTGGGCCCAAGGAGGAGGAAGATGAAGGGCAGTTTGGGCCCATGGAGGAGGGAGGTGAAGGGCAGTGTGGGCCCATGGAGGAGGAAGATGCAGGGCAGTGTGGGCCCACGGAAGAGGAAGGTGAAGGGCACTGGGGTGGGGGTGGGGGGGCACTGGAAAGAGGGCTGTGACACTGTGGGGGCAGCACCAACAACTGGAGTCAAAGTGGGTCCTGAAACCCAAACCCAACCCACTACCATGGAATGGATTCTGACTCATAGGGCAGTAGACAGCCTCCGCTTCCTCCTGAGTGCCACTGGCGGGTGTGGGCCACCCAACCAGTGGGCAGTAGCCCAGTGCCTAACTTTATCCAGATCGCAAGAGAATGTTAAATAAAGAACTAAACACTGAAATTTCACACCACCCCACCCCCAAATATAAGCGAAAACAGTTGGGGCCATCGAGTGGATGTCGCTCAG